TGTTTCATGAATGAGGTCCAGTATAGTACATACTCTTTTTGCGGTCGCAAAGTAATTATGTATTCAAAAAAGTACCTAGACAAGGGAGTATGTGATTTCGGACACATCCAAATTGTGTATGTTACAGCTCTCTTTCCATCAATTTCTGAATTTGGTCACTCATTTTTGTTGACTTCTTTCTCATGAAGTGGACTATATGATCCACTATACTGTATGGGATCCACTAGGGAATAGTGAATCAGTGGATGGGGGCTATTCGGACATAGCTAAGTTACATAAATTACAAATTTTGGGTCTGGCATTTGGTACATTAAACTCAGGGATCATAGTAATGACTATGCCACAGCTATTTTTTTTTTAAATGTCTTCACTTCCCTGTGTTTCACTGGAAAGACAACAAACTTTACTGGAACAAGTATAGTTCAACAAGGAACTGATTTACTTCATGTACTAGTTACAATGTGGAAAAACATGAAGCCCTTATGTATCAGAGGAAGTTACAGACTGGGGTGGAATGCATTTTTCTTAAGAAAATGGGCAACATTGTTTCAGATAAGTTTCTGTAGCATTTGGCATAGTATATAGTATATACTCAATATAATAAAATATAATGGGTAAAACTAAGATCTGAAAAAAAGAAAAAATGTGTAATATAAGAAAATCAATATATTAACATTTGTATTTATGGCAAGAATTTAATTTTTATTTGAAAATGTAAAAAAAATTTGTCCAGCTAGCTTTATTTATTTTTTGTTATTTTTATCATGAATAACAATCCTCATTTGTGCTACTTTCATGTGTGGACAGAAATGAACACAAAGCACAATAGCCTTCAAGTAAATAAAAGTAAAACAAGTGATGAAAGAGTCAGCTGTAATGACCACAAGAATGTTCTTGCAATCTTTAAACATGTTGAAAAAACAAAACAAAACAAAGAACATACCATTCCATCAGCTGTCATCCAACCCTTTGTTAAATGAGGAAGTTGTGATTATGAGAACAAAAGTTTTATTCATTAATTGCAATGCAGTGGTTACAAAAACATAGTTCGGATTGTGGCCATGAAACTTGAACATGAACATTACCTTCAACCCAGGCCCGCTAAGCCAGAATACCCATCAGTCAACCACAACATCACGGGATTCTACAACACTAACGCCAACCAGGAAATCAAGAAACCTGGAAGTAGAGTCTGATAAGCAGTTGAGCTTTATTAGTCACATCTCAGCAATGGTCAGATCATGCCGGTTTGTGTTTTTCAACTTTAGACCTTCACCCTCTCTGTTTCTCTGCGGTACAAGAAGCTGCCAACATCTACACAACCATTATAACTCCCAATAACCTGCTGAAGACATACCAATTACACAAGCACTAACATAAATGACCTTGAACAAAGACACTTTTTAACGATTTATTTATTTATTGCATTAAGTGTTCTTTGGAAAAAACTATATATAAGGAAAAAATGCTGAACATACAGAAGGTTATCAATGCAAATGACTTAAACACTCAAAACACAATACACGACACAACAATATGAGTTATATAAAAGAATGATCTAAATCTGCTATATAACAGGTTCACCACTCTATTTCCTCATTCATTTAATGGGGTGTGATCATTCCCCGAATGGTTCTGTGGGAGTCGAGTTCCGTTTAAAAGATGCGCAGGGAGGAAGTTTTCTCAAATTTTTCAAGGGTGTGAAGGTGAACATATCTACTGGTAAAGACACATTTACAGGTAAATAAAAAGAAGCATCTTTTGTAAAGTTTATGATTTGAACTACAGTTTGTATGATTTGTATTTAATGTGATTTATTTTATTTGTATTTTGATGCTAATTTAATTCATTAATTGAATCCAATAAATTATTTTATTATTTTTAATAAATTATTTAAACTGCTTGTTTCAAATAGAATTCAAAATCTATGACTACCAGTGGCCGTATTGTATTGTAAATTGTATTTTTATATTTTATATATTAATATACAAATGCATGTACAGTTAATTATAATTAATATATAAAGAATAATATATAAAAACTGATTTATCAGCATAACCATGTGAGTGAAATATTGAAGAGAGTTTACTACCTAGAAAGAGTGCACAATCCTTCTTAATATTTCATTTTTACATTACAATGTTTCTTTATTTTATATTATCTATCTATCTATCTATCTATCTATCTATCTATCTATCTTTTTAAGTATAAATTAGATAAATAATTTATTCAAATAACTGCTTTTATAATTGTTGAGTGAAAAATACTTGTTTGTAGTATGGCATTTGTTTTTTAATAGACAACATTTAGTTTAATGTTTATCTCAATTGTAATCCAATTTAGTGTATTATTTTTAGAATTAATTCCATAAAGTATATGTGTATTATATCAGATTTTCCATCCTAATTCAGATTAGTTTGATTTAAATGCGTATAATCTTTCCCTCAGACATGGAGAGCAAGCTGATGTTTTTGGTGGTTTGTGTGATTGGTTGTGCAGTGTCTTGCATTAAGGCTGATGGGCACCTATCAACGCCAACAAATTTAACCGTAAGAATACCATTTACTACTTTCCACCATTATTTGGTCCAAATAACTGCTATTTCGGCTTAACCGTGTAGAAAAAGCTGCGGTTTTAAAAATAACTTGTTCGTGTGGACAGGGCCTCAGTTCCTGGAGAGCCACTCACCTGCAGAGTTTAACTCCAACACATCTGCTAGGAAATTTCTAGCACTACTAAAGACCTTGATTAGCTGGGTCAGCTGTGTTTAATTAGGGTTGGAACAAAGCTCTGCAGGTCTGTGGCCTTCCAGGAGCTAAGTTTGATATGCTTTGATACCCTTTTACGCTAATGTTATTAAAACAGTTTAGGGTGTAAAAATGTATCTGTCGTTTTTTCTGATTTTTCTTAATGATAGTCCAACATCACCGGCAATGAGTGTGGAAAAACCAAACTATGTTTGGACAACCCTAAAGGATGTGACCCTTCAGGCAGCTCTCAGTGTTTCTTCACCTCGGTACAGATTAACTTAACCACCCTCAATCTAAAGGTTGAGCTCAGTGGCAACTCCAGCGGTTACATTGCTTTAGCAGCTGGAGTGACATCTAGTGTGGTTCAGGTATACAAAGCACATTTTACAACACACATTCACACTTGCCTCTGTGGACCATACTTCCTTAAAGCAAATCAGATAGCTTGTTTTGACTAAAGGTCATAAAATTGAAAGCCATATTGGGGAACTGATTTGACAACTACCAAAGCCAAACATATCCATGTTGAACCAACAGGAACATTGATTAAACTGGAAAGTACTGTCGTTCCAAACAGCCTAGTTTCATTGCAAGACAGAAATGTGAATAAAGGGGTGACTTGTTATTCTCATAATTACTATAGCTGCGTCTAAGAATGACAGGCCAATACAAGCGTAAGGCTTGTTCA